AAAAAAAAAAAAAAAAAAGGGTGGGGGGCTGTTTTCTCCCTTCAGGGTTAGGGCATTTCTAACTCAGGGCTTGTACCTATAACAAGGAAACAATACTAAGCCCACGGAGGGATCCTAAAAGCAAATTAAGTATGCGTGGCTTCCAAACCAAATGAGCCACGAATTCCTATGTTCTGAAGCTCTCATCAGGAAATATCAGGAAAACCTGATATTAGTGGATCTAAGAAATTCACACCTGTACATGTAATAATCATTCCTTCTAAAGAAGTCACTCTCCCAGCCCCCTCCCTAAATATGGCGGAGGACCGCCACTAGCGGCTTGCAGAAGACGGGCAAGCACAGTAAGCAGGATACCGAACACGGAGAATTCTCAGAGGGGAAACCGTGAGGGCGAGGTGAGCGAGGCACTGAGGAGCTGAAGGAGTCAAACAAGCACCACTGACGCATCCCACGTACCCCCACCGTCTCCTTCAGGATGAAATGACTGAAACAGCAGGAAAAAAGTCCCTCCCCAAGCTCCCCGGGGTCCCCAGGGCACTATCATCTGCTCTCTACAGACAAGCAAGATGGTTTCTGAGGCTTTGCCTGTTTATTGTAGCTAATGTTAGACACACAATGGAAAGGGAGGTTAAAGAGCATGGGTTTGGGATTGAGGGAAGTCTAGATTTAAATACCAGCTCAGCCATTTTTTAACTATGACTTGAATTCTGTTCAGTTTCAGTTTGCTCATCAGTAAGATGGAACAGTTACTCAGTCTGCTAGGACAGTGAGGAGGAGTAAAGGACATCCCCACAGCAAGACACGTACTGCTGGTAACACAGGCTCACACTACAGCCACCACGACTGAATTCTGACAAATCACACACTCTGGCGTCACTTACTTGTGGTAATTCTCCTTTTTCTCATCTCTCCAGTTTTTATTTAACTGGTGAATTTTCACAGCTACATATCTTTGTTCTGTTAGATCAAATGCCTACAAAGAAAAGGAGTAAGTTATATTCTTGATAAAAGCTAACAAGAATTACAGGCAAGTAACGGATCTGAAGCTTCTACTTAACACATGGATGTAGTCAAAACCCAAAATGCATTATTAAATACAAACAGCCATGGAGGACAACACATCACGTACTTGTTTCAGAGTTACAACCATCTTCTTAAAACTTGTGACCAGATAATTTAGAAGTCTCCAGATGCACTGGCACCAAGGGGCTTAGAAAACAACCCAGCAGACACCACAAGCAGCAAGTCAGCCTGTGCCTTACCAGTCCCTTCCAAGCAGTTTCTCGGTGGACATCACCCACCCTCTCTGGGGACCTGCTCCCCTGGGCTGTATCTCACCCCTCTGCTGACACTGAGACTTGGCATATGCTTCCCTAGCAAGTCCTGCCGCTTTTGAAATGCTGGGGACACAGACTACCTGCTCCGTGAGAAATAGCCCCTCCAGATATTCCTTTTCACTATGTTTGTTAGAAAATAACCTCGTAATTTGTTATACTGTGTTTATTAAAACACAAACAGAAACAAAAAACAGTCCTATCCATATATGATGGTAAAAGGCAGTTTTTGATCCCAGCAATGTCTAAAGTTAGTCACACCAGGTCACTTCTCTAGCACTGTCCAAAGAAAGGGACAGACTTTACCCAAAGACCACCACTACTGGCCAAGTCCTCCAACAGCTTAGGTAGTGCTGTGTCATAGAGGGAAGAAGGGAAACAGGTGGGTTTTTGAGGATGCTGGGTGTAAATCACAATTTGATAAAGTGAGTAGTATTTTAATATAATAGGAAATTTCTCTTATACAAAAGAATTTACTGAGGAATTCTTTTGGAATGAATAGTTTTTCTTAGTTTTTAAAGTTCAGATGAGAAACTTAATACTTGAGTTCCAACACTATTACCACCCATCTGCCAGTTTCCACAACTGTATGAACAGATGAAGGTAACAGGCACAGGAAGAGTCCATGAATAGTGATGATTACTGTTCAACGGATTTTTTAAACTGTAAGCTACCTCAGGAAAGCACTAAATGCAAGAGAGGGCTGCTTATAAAAGAAACTTCCAATTTATACTAAATTTAAACCAGTAGTTTTTAAAATACAGAAACCACACAATTCAAACAGAATATCTTATTTCACAGAAATGGAAATTCTTACAGACTCTAAAGTCTACCTGCAAGCTTGTATACCATCTTGGCTTTACAGTAGAGAACCGTTCCAAGCCATTAAAAGCCAGATCAAATAGCACCTAATTTATAAGAGCACTAATGATATACAAGTGTCTTTTTCTCCACCTACCATACTGTATTTCTGAATCCAAGACACTATGATCCACCACTGATTTTAAGAAGGGCCTCTGGGGAGTGGAGAAAAGCAAAAGAAGAACTACACGGAATGCACACAATGCTGGAGGAAGCACCTACATTTCAGGAATGTTAAAAGGTTTAAGGAACACACTAGGAAAAAAAAAACAGGATGAAGAAATCACTAACTAGCAACTGGGAAGTACCAAGAACAAATTTTGATGTTTTAAAGAAGGAGTTGTCTCACTTGTGGGTTTATAGCCAAAAGAATTAAAAGCAAGGTCTCCAAGAGATCTCTGCACACACATGTTCAAAGCAGTGCTATTCACAACAGACAAGAAGAGGAAGCAGCCCCAATGTCCACTGCCAGATAAATGGATAAAGCAAATGAAGCATGTGCATACAATGGAATGTTATTCAGCCTTAAAAGAAGGAAATCCTATCACAAGCTTCAACATGGATGAACTCTGAGAACATTATGCTAAGTGGACTGAGCCAGTCACTAAGAGACTATTGTGATTTCACTTATACAGGTATCTGACAGTAGTCTAATTCATAGAAATGGAAAGCAGAACAGTGGTTCGCAGGGGCTGTGGGAGGGCAACGGGAGAGCTGTTGATTAATGGGTAAAGTTTCAGTTTTCTAAGATGAGAAAGTTCTGGAGATCTGTTTCACAACAACATAAACATACCTAATGCTACTGAACTGTACATTTAAAAATGGTTAATGATGGTAAATTTTGTTTTTATTACCACAACTAACAAAGTTTATCAAAAATAAAAAATAAACCAAGTGTATGATTCAAGAATGAAAATAAAAACCAAGAAAGTAAAAGGAAGGAAAGACTAAAAGCAAAAGTTAATGAAAAGAAAAACCCAAATTAAACAGTAGACTTGATCAATAAGATAAAAAGTTGATTCTTAGAGGGGGAAAAAAAAAAAACACTGACTAACCTCTCTGACCTATCAGTCGAGATACAAAAATAAACATTTCATTAAAAAAAAGAGAAATAACTAAGGTATGGATATTTTTAAATCAAGGTGAAACAGAAGATTTTCCAGAAAAATTAAATTATCAAAAGAGAGGGAGAAGAGAGAGAAAATGTAAATAAATCAATAGTTGTAGAAGGAACTTAAAAAGGTGGTCAAAAAGTTTTCCTGTATAATGATATCCCCCCACAGGATTCTGAGTCTGCTCTAACTTTCAAGGAGCCAACAATTCCTATACAATGCATTCCAGGGCATGGGGGAAAAATATATACATAGGCACAACTTATTCTGAATAAACTAGGACACAGAAGCTAGACAATGCTGCCTATACACAAAAGATAACTATGGGCCAGTCCCACTTACAAACATAGGTAACAAAATACAATAAACTAGAAAATCAAGCCCAACAGTACATTAAAAAGAATGAAGGGGGCAGAAATCGGAGGGGGAGACGAACCATGAGAGATGATGGACTCTGAAAAACAAACTGAGGGTTCTAGAGGGGAGGGGGTGGGAGGATGGGTTAGCCTGGTGATGGGTATTAAAGATGGCACGTTCTGCACGGAGCACTGGGTGTTATGCACAAACAATGAATCATGGAACACTACATCAAAAACTAATGATGTAATGTATGGTGATTAACATATAACAATAAAAATTAAAAGTAAATAAATAAAAATAATATTCTAGTTCTGGAAGTGGATTGTGATGGTAGCTGCACATTATGAATATACTTAATGCAACTGAACTGTACACTTAAAATGGTTAAAATGGCAAATTTTATGTATATATCACCACAGTAAAAAATTAACATTAAAAAAAGGAAAACTGCTGAATCATCATGTTGTACACCTGAAACTAATATAACATCGTGTGCCAACTACACTTCGATTAAAAAATACACACACATACACACACACAGGCACTAATGGTTTTGGAAAATATA